ACAACAACTTTTTGAGGTAGTTACTACCATTGTCATCTTACAAACGAAGAAACTGAGGCTTGGAGATGATAAGAAAATACCAAGGTTATATAGCACATGAAGAGCAGAACTGAATCCAGGCAAGCTGAGCCAAGCACTTTTTTTTTTTTTTTTAGCATTTTATGTTTTTTTTATGGTTATTTCACTTTCACATTTCTTTAAAAAGTTGAAGTATATTTGATCTATAAGTACTTTTAATCACTGTACCATGACACCTACTCTTTCCCAACGTCAGTGGGAGCTTTCCATGTCACTCCTAGAGAGCCACCTTATTCTTTGTGATGGCAACGAGATATTTCATAAGATTAGTGTACTAACATTTATATAACAAATGTCCTATATGGTTACTAAGTTATTTCTGAATCTTTTACTATTACAAAATCACTGATGAACACCTTTGCACATGTGTACACGCCTATAAATCTGCACTCTGGCCTATTTCCCCGCCTCAGCCTTTGCCTGCTCGTACATCAACAATACCAGCCACGAAATCACCATCATCGATCCACCGATGCTCGTAATCACACCTTCTACCTTTAGCGCATCTCCCCAGCCCTGTCCTTCCTCCTAATCCCAGCATCATGTTTAAGAAGGTCCAGGGAGTACTACCATGCCTTCTATCCCTTCATTCAATTTTCCAAAGGCTTAACGAGATCCTTCTGTGAATCAGACTCATGTGAGGCACCCCACGAGCTGTGGTCTGCTGGGGAGAGAGGAGTGTGAGCAGCGAAAGAGACTGGAGCTCCCGCTGACTGTCCTGTGACAGGGGCCGAGGTAAACCGATTCAAGGAAGGAATACAAAGGAAGTGCGTGGTCAGCTCCATGGGGGATGGTGAGACAGTGCTAGGATGGAAGTCATAGACAGGGTCATTGGGTTCTTGAAGGATGTGTGTGCATTTGCCAGGTGAATGAAGGAGGCCAGGGGCCCTCCAGATGGTGGGGACAGATGGAGTCTCGTCTATGCACACCCTGCTACTTCCTGCACTGAGCCTCTCCCTGGAGCCCATGGCCACTGACAGCTTCCTCCTGGTCTGGCCTGGATTAGTGCCATTCTCGTCTGGGACACTCCTCAGCTCTCCCTGCTCTCATAAGGTACCACCCTCAATCCAGTCTTCAGCTCCAAGGCTCCGGTGGAATCATGTTTCCTGTGGTCAGCCCTAAGTTAGGAAGAGAGAATGTCTGGGCCCTGGGCCTCTGACTCTGCTCCAAAGGGTCCATTCTCTGAGAAGCTGTACCCAGGCTACACTTAGATGTGTGATCCCATCTCACTCTGCTTGCTCTGGTTACAGTGCTGAGAATGTCTCATTTTATAAGGGAAGAAAAGAGAAAAGGAGAAAGCCCTCTAAATGCCTGCTAGGTGCCACTCTTGGTAATTAATCTCATTTAATTCTCATGACCAACTGACCCAGTAGGTGTTAATTTCGAGAGTTGACTCTCAGATCAGTGAAAGGTTTTGACTGAGATCACATGGCCATTAAGTGCCTGTGATTTGAACCCAGGGCTTCCAAGCCCCTCTTCTATGTGCTGTATCTGGGAAGAGAGGCTTCAGGTCCTGGAGCTGAGCTGGGGTCCTTTCGATACCAAGCCCATCTCTGGGGTAGAGTACTGCACCCACAGCACGGCCTAAGTGGCAAGTGTAGCTGGGGCCTCTGTCCCCTGTGGCAGAGGCAGCAGTCCTTACGTGATGGTCCGGGTGCCCACCTGCCTGATTGGAGGCTTGGGCCATCAGTTCTGACACAGACACTGGGAACGGCGTTTGGCAGAGCCTTGCACTGGGTCACCAGGGGGCAGTGCCCAAGGGATTGTCCTGCGGTCACAATACTCGGGGACTCTGGCTGGAGCCACCTAGCCTCCTGCATCTGTCGGGAACGTGGTACCCATGCACTCAGATCCACTCCTGAGGAGGGACAGCCTATGCGCTCTTACCCTCCTCAGAGGGGTCTCTGCTAAGATCCAGCTTCTACTGGTAGAACTCGAACTTTGGGTTCAGACACCCCTGAGTTGTTTAACCTCTCAGAGCACTGGTTTTCTCATCTAACAAAAGGGAACAGAAAGCACTCAACAAATGCTTGCTTCCATTCTCCTCTACCTTCTGCATCTTCCATGGGGACTTTGGTGATTCCACCATGACTACAGGAATCCAAAGCTCAAGCTCTTTCTAATGTACCCAGGGTGTGAGCTGACTGTCGTGTCATTCCGAGGGCACTCAAGTTGGCATCACCTCAGGGAGAACAGTGTCAGACACAGGACTTCAGGGTCACCTAGGTGACTGATGCCCCCTTTTTACAGATGGGCTCTGAGAAGCAGTTGTTCAGTTGCTAAGCCATGTCAGGCCCTTCGCGACCCTGTGAAGCAGAAGTGATTCATCCAGTATGTGCTGGTTCCCACTCCCATTCCCAGAGTCGCCATCACACAAATACTGTGAGCTTAAATTTGTCATGTTAGCCCCCTTCCTCCACGGGCACTGCACCCCCGTCACTTCTGCATAGACAGAAGCATTTGTTGGAAAGCAGGTGGGGCAGCTGAATTAGGCCGAGGTGAGGAGGTCCACCTTGGGAAATCACAGAAGCTGGGCTTGTGCGGTGTGTGTCCTGGGTGGCAATACGAGAGGAAGACCTGTGGCTCTAGGATCAGCCCAAAGGTGGTCTAATCTTGATTCTGTGCTTTCTCTAAGATTGTTTAACTTCTCCCTGAAGTTTAGTTCCACTGTATTAATAAAAGGAATAGTTTGTAAGACAAGGGTGAGACCTCGTACAAAGGAGGTGCTCCGCAAATCCCAGCCCAGCCCCCTTCCCTGGGTCCCTGCCGGGCTTAGGTTTGGCTCCCCTTCCCTTTGCTCGCTCCAAGCACGGAGCGGGGCCAGCAGCTTCCTTACCAGTTTCCTTACTCTGTTAGGACCGGTCCTTCAGGTCTTCAGGCTGGGCTTTCAAGTAGGGCATAGTCTTCCGGGTCCCCGAGATTCTTCCCATCGTCAGCCCTGACCCCTGGGATGCAGACACACAACCACTCTCTGATGGAGTGGCTCTCTCTGTGGGAAAGAGGAAGCTGCAGGACCGGCGGCAGACGGCTGGGTGGGGCCTCTCACAGCTCCTCCCCTGGGTGGGGCTCTGACCAGGTTCGGGGTGTCTGTGGGAATTCTCAGCTCTGGCTAGGGCTGCTGGCTGCCAGGGACTTGATTCTGAGCTGTGCCTCAGCCACGCTCCTGGACCAGAGAAGATTCTTAACATGAACGACCCAAGAAAGTCAAATAAAATGGGTCACCCCACCCGTCATGTCTGGAAGATGAGTCTCTGGTTCTGGATTTGGAGGACTCCCTCTACCTTGGTATAATGAAATGAGAATTTGCAGTGTGTATCACCTTGGGCAAGCCACTTCAGACCTCTAGTCCTCAGCCTCCCATCCATAAAATAGAACTTGACCATTTCTAAAATTATGATTCCTGCTTATGTATTTTACATGCCTTTTGGGGATCAACAGAGAACCTTATCTGTGTAGAAGGAGACTTGCAGAGCCCAGCACCTCATGCTTTCCACTCTGTGAAGTTTCAAAAAGAGACACAGAAGTCAAGAGAATAGGGGATAGAGGCTGAGCAGATCCACCCAGGAAGAGATCGGAGGGACTCTGGGACAAATCTGGAGAGATCTCTAGACTGCTCCAACTTCCCTGTCCCTACCCCTGACTCAGATGCTTTTCCATTCCCCACAGAGTACACTGTAGGAGCCTCCTTCTTCCCTGGCCAGTTGAATCTCCTAACAAGTGCTTCACAGCGTTCTCTGAAAACTGACGTGCCCTCCTTGTCACTGTAGCCAGTGGCCTCGAAACTCAATCTTGGCCTCCTGTGGGATGGCACAAGGAATTCCCTGGAGGGTTGGCCTCACACCCTGAGAGCTGGAAGCCAGGGAGGGAGTCGGATGGAGAGGCCCAGGGGCGAGCTGGCAAGATGCACCTCAGCACCTCCTACCCTCCTGACATCACTGCAGGGCTCCTGCCCAGATCTCTGCCTGTCTGGGTGACAGACAGTGGGGAGAGAGGGAGACAGTTGAAAAGGGAGTCAATGAAAATTCAGGAAGCTAAAGGAGAGAGGAAGGATAGAGGGGGGCTCCACGGGCGATGCTGCATAGATGCCTTTGGCTCCAAACAAGTTTCCTTAATGTGCCCCTGGAACCTGGCCAGCCTCACAAGCATTTCTGTGCTGGTTGGCAGGGAGTAGGCACCTAAAAGAAGGCTCTTTGATTTCTCCTAAAAGACCTCACTTTGACCTGAGAAACTTGAAGGTGGCTAGAAAAGGAATGAAGGAGGATCCAGTTTCAGGTTCTCAATGAATGGAAAGTAGTTTGGGGCATTTCTCAGAATTTCCAAGATGTTTCTCACATAAAACGAAGGTTCAAAAGTAACAAAGACAATTCAGAGATTGGGGGTGGGGATAGGAGGAGTGGGTGTCCTCTGACTCAGGAACAGTGAGATGAAAGACCAGGCGGCAGTTAGCTGGGTGGCTTTGCAAAGTTACTTAACCTCTCTGTGCCTCAGTTTCCTTATCTGACAGATGAGGATGATGGTTTCTCACAGTGTTGCCGCAAGAATTCAGCAATGACAGGTTTGAAACTAGCTCGCGTATTGTGCCTGGCACGTTGTGGATACTTGATAAATTGTTCTTTTTATCTGATGTGATTGGCATCTTCTCATGTTTGTAGTTACCTATTTAATTCTCCATCCAAGTATCTACCTACCTATCTGTCTATTTAGCTATCTATTTATCTATTTAGCTATCTATCTATCTGTCAATCTAATCATCTACTCAACCATCCAGTATTTAGACTTCCCAATCAGATTGTAATAGATTGATTGCATCAGGGTCAGGGCAAGCCAGACCTCAAGTTAATAAAGTGGGTATGATGAGGCTTCTTATCTCCCAGCTTCAAATGATGCTTCAGTTTAGTGGCAGCTTCTTTGATTTCTTTCAGATAAACTGAAGAAATGCTCAGAGAGGGGAGTTTGCAGGAAAGGCATGTTCTTATCCAGAAGACCCAGCACCCCTGCACCATTCAGGTCTCCTCATTTCCAAGAGTAACCTCTTGTCTCCAGACACCTGAGGTCAGTGGTATTTCAGGATGTTCAGCTATGCAGGCACACTGCCCATGGGTTATTCATCATGGTGTTCAAATATTAAGTCACCTGGCCACACACCCTCCTAGAATGTGTCCCAGAAAAACAAAGGCCAGGGTGAGTGCCTTGCTAGGGACCTTGATCACTCTGCACATAGGACTCTAATAAGTCATAATAATGCTGTGCATTTATACAGTGCTCTGCTGTTTTCAGAGCCTTTTCACATGCCTGTGCCTTAGGTTAGTTGAGCCACATTATAATTCTGTGAAGCAAACAGGATTTGTTCCCTTGTTTTCAATTTGCAGATGAGAAAGCCCAAGAGTCACACAACTACTAATCAGTAGGCAACACAGACTAGACCGCAGGTCCTAGGGTTCCGAGTCAGCTGCTCACCTCACACGTCTGTTCGGTGACGGTGGGGAGTACAGAAGGATAGGGCTCAAGGGAAGCAGGGGATGCAGACAGCCGTTGGATCTTCTCCTGGCCTAGAAGGCCAGGGTGGGAGAAGGCAACCTAGTACATGCTTGTCACATTGAGGCACCACCCGCCTGCAGCCCCAGCTGGAAGCTCTAGGCAACCGTTACCCCTTTAGCTTCTGTCTCCCCTCCCCCTTGTCAACACGCAAGTGCCCCCTGCCCCAGACACCTTTTCATTTTGTCTCATCTGCCAGTGTCTGACTCAGGATTGTCTTACCTTGGAGTCTGTGGTCTCCAAAAAGAGGCTTGCATGCACCAGGTCCTATGAAAGACGAGTCTCTGAGGTGGGGGAGAAAATAGTAGAACGTCTATGGCTTCAAACAATAGGAAAAACATTGCACTCTAGTGACACTTACTGTGTAGGTGGACACTGGCCTCCCGTTCCTCTGTTGATCAGACTGGCCAAGGACACACACCAAGGGCCACATACAAGCCTGAGGGTGGAGCAGGGGCTTTACACGTGGGGGGCTTCTGGCCTCCCCTCCTTCTCTGTCAGTGTGACAGGCCTTCTGTAGCGCGTGTGGCGCAGGGTAGATGGATTTATGATTTGTTTTCACCAAATTAACCCTAAAGCAATGGGAACTCACAAAAAGAAACTACCGAGAGAAGATAGCATTAATAATGCAAACAGAAGCAAACAGCAAGAAAATGGTAGTATTGACACTTTGCCTACCTAATGCCTACCTTAACTAAATGTCTTCCAAATGAAGCTTTCTAGTTCTTTTCAAAGCTTTGGGTCAAAATATAAAAAATGCAATAACTAGCTAGCAAAAACAATTGATAGACATCAGAGAGGGCAGAAAGTCACAAGCTGAATTTAAACAAAAGCCTTTACAGTAGTATTTTGCATTACTGTGGTACATTATCAGATTTCCATTTGGATCTCTGAACCTTAGTGAAGTATCTTTTTTTTTTTTCCAATTCTGAAAACTATCAGAACCAAGTATCAAAATAATTTGAACTTAAAACCAGATGGTATGAATGTTGAATGCAGAATGTTAATATGAAGGGGAGGCAAACATGATAAAACATATCAACCATGTGTGTGTTGGGTACATGCTCTGTTGCCAAGTCATGCTGACTCTTTGTGCTGTAAATATTAGTGTTCGAAATAATTCCTTTCAGTGAAAAGGTTTTTTTTTTTTTTTTTTTTTGGTATGGTTAACAACATAAGAGCTAAAAGGTAATGTAATTTCATCTGTAGCTCATCTATTTAAATACCTCTTTCTGTCTTTGTCTTACTGCAGGAATAAAAGCTATAGTGGTATCTTCTGTTAAGAGGTGACTTTTCACCTGACCCTCGGTTACTTAAGGATGAGGGCTAGTTGCCAGAGGAGCCAACTATGTGATTAAAGGTCTGGAAATTTCTGGACCTCCAGGAGGGAAAAGAAGCTGGAAGTTGAATCAGTCACCAGTAGCTAAAGATTTAATCAGTCATATTTAAGTAATGCGGCCTCCATAGGGACAGGGTTCGGAAAGCTGGGCTGGTTAACAAGTGGAGACTTGGACGAGTGAATTGCTCAGAGATGACAGGAAGTTTCCCATCCTTTCCTCACACCTTGCTGTATACATCTCTTCCATCTGGCTGTCACTGAGTTATATTCTTTTAGAGTAAACCAGTAGTCTACTAAATAAAACATTTCTCTGAGTTTTGTGAGCCATTCTAGCAAATTAACTGAACTCAAGGAGGGGCCCATTGGAACCTGTTGGTCAGAAACCCAGGTGACAGCCTGGACGTGAGATCGGCATCTGGAGGCAGGGCGGGCGGGGTGGGGCGGGGTGGGCAGGCAGCCTTTGCTTTGAGTCCTCAACCTGTGAGATCTGGGTCCTGTCTCTGAGACACTGAGTCAGGCTGGGCGCCAGTGTGTTTTGGGGGCCAGACACCCACTTCTGGTCTGAGCCACACTGTCTGCTGCCTGGTTAGTGTCCACGTCTTCCCCACAGCTTCTGCTGACAGCCATGTTTCATACTCACCTCCCTAGCCTTTCCAGCTCCCTACGCTGCTCTTTCCCCTTCCCCCATATCTCATCCTCTTCTGCCACCCTCCACAATTCACTCATTTACTGTGTTCATTGTTTATCATCCACTGGGCTCCTCCCCACAGAATGCAAGCTCTACGGGGCCTTCATCTGGTTTGTTCCCTGATGTATTCCAGGGCCTGGCACATAGCGGGTCTACAAATGTGTTGAGTGAACCATAGCAACTCAGTGCTGTTGGCATTCCAGGACTCCTGTTCTAGGAAACAGAGCTGGGGAGGTGGGATGTCCTGCCCAGAGACACACAGCCAGAGAGGGGCTGACTGCCGAGTCCTTGTCTCCACCTCTGGGCCTGGCTGAGGCTGAGCTGATGCACGTGAGGTGGTCTCAGCCTCGGGGGTCCCACTGCCCCTCCCCTAGACTGAACTCCCCATGGGATTACTAGGTAAGTATCCTTACTCAGCACCCCCCTCTTTTGTATTGAACAGGGAGAACCCCTAAGCTAAGGAGCTCTGCCCTAGTTAGAACCTGGGGGAAGAGGCTGTACTTGACTGTGGTGGGCTGGTGCTGCACTTTCTCATGCTCCAGGATATAGAAGTTAGAGACTCTTGGCTTAGGGTGGGGGCAGTGGCCGTGGCTGGCAGACAGGGAGGACCTAGCAGAGAGATGAGGCTTGCACAAAGCAGCAAATTCTGACAGTGTCTTGAAGACCCATCTTCTGAGGCTAGAGAAATCAACCCCACCCATTTTACCACAGGTTCCAGGCTTGGTCCCATCCCCTCTTTCCCTGAATATTATAGCCAAGCTCAGCTTTAGAACATGGCTTCCTAATCCTTGTAGTTTGCATTTGCTTTGTAAACACTCATGCAGCCAGTTCAGGTGTGGCCGTGGCCCTGGCCTTGCCAGACCTTCTCCTGGGTTGCCACTGGCATCTCTCCAAAAGGCTGGGGCACCTGCCTAGCCCCCAGTGAGGTGCTGAGGTCTCCAGGAAGGTCCCAGTGGTGTGACCCCAAATGGACTCATCCTCGCCCCTTCTCCCCGTCTCTGCTCTGCTGCTGCCACGCCCCAAGCATGCCATGTTTGGTCACGCCCCTGGTCTTTGTACACCCTGTTCCCTCTTCCTGGGACGCCCGCTCTGCTCGCCCCCACCCACTGCACTGCTCCTCATTCTTCAGGAGCCAGACCTAGTGCTGATCCCTCCAGGAGGTCTTCCCGCTCCCTGCCCCTTCACGTGTGGATGTGTGTGTGCACACGTGCACACATACACACACAGATATTCTGAACACAGACATATGCATTTGTTTTCCATATACACACACACAACAGGCACACATGAATTATATATACATGCACAATTCCCATCCCCTCCACAGGTACACACACCATAGTGCCTTCCAAATAGACCCACTCACACATATACAGACATATTCCACGTCCCCACACGTGTTCACACACCCTCCTGCCCTCTGTACCCACTCTGCAGACACAGCCCCCAGCTGCCCCCTTCTTGATGCCTCAGATCACTGGGCACAGCTGTCTCTTTAGGCCCTGCACTGGACCATGGCGGGTCCTCCCGTGCTCCTCAACCTGGACCAGAAGTCCTCCCTAACAGGGTGGCTGGCACACAAGAGGACTGAAAAGTAACTGGGAGGTAGGGACTGAGTCAAAGTGAACTCATGAAGAAAGCGCGGGGTGGAGATGAGCCCTAAGAAGGACTCCAGCCTGGTGTGTTTGCCAGGAGCGTTCAGCCCAGGGCCTCAGGAGAGCTGAGGCAGATGAGGGCATCTTCACTTTGAAACTCAAAAATAAACAGCACAAAAGAAGCAAGGCGATGCAGCACCTCCGCAGCCATGTCTCACGTGCGCCTCTGGGTTGAAGCCCCAGTCAAGGCCCCAGCCCTCTCGTCCTCGGGGTTGGGTCAGGGTGGCCGTGCGTCACACAGCTGGGTCAGGACCTGTGCCCTGGCTCCTAAACACCCTGCAATACACAGGCAGTGCCCCTCCACCACTCCAAGAAAGAACCGTTAGCCTCAAATGTCAACTGTGTGCCCTTGAGAAATACTGGTGGGGAGAAAGAAAAGAAACATGGGTTTTAGGAAGCAGTGTGAATCCCAAGTCTGCCCCTTCCTGCCCACGTGATCTGGGACAAGTCACTTCCCTGCTGCCTCTGAACCTCAGTTTTCTCACTTGCAAAAGAAGGTATTTATGCATATGTCACGTGGTTATCATGAGGATCAGATATACATGAAGCGGGAATTCCCTGCTGGTTCAGAGATTAACACTGCACTCTCACTGCTGAGGACCCTCGTCTGATCCCTGGTCAGGGAACTAAGGTCCTACAAGCCACGGGGCACAGCCAAGAAAAAACAAAACACTTTTTTTTTACACAAAGCATCTTCCTAGCTGACGCACAGGGCACAGGGAAGGTGTGTGATTAACAATGGCTTCACTTTAGCCCTGGAGCCTTCCAGAGCTAGACTTCTGAAGCCAGGCATTTTCCTCTGCCACGTCTTTAGATCTTCCTCCTGGTTTCTCCCTCGTCTCTTGGTTTCAGAAGTGTCCTTGTTCTATCACTGGCCTTCCTTTCTTCTCTTTGAATTGTGTCCATGTGAGCTGGAATTCTGAGCCCTTCATTTTCAGTCCCCCACCTTGAATACATATATATCAATGCTTCAGTGGCTTTGCTAGCTCTGAATGGGTAAAGTATTCCTTGAAGGCAAGGCATGGTGTATGTGCATTGTGTCTGTCTGTGTTTGTGCATGTGGCCCTACACGTTCTTGTGCATCTGTACATTTCCCTAACTTCTCCTCTGATATGATTTTCAGAAAGGAGATGGTAGGGGAATCCCTGATGTGGAGGTGTGGCATTTTCATTTCTAAAACTGTGAAAATTAACATCCTTCCATGGTAGCTCAGCTGGTAAAGAACCTGCCTGCAATGCAGGAGGCCCCAGTTCGATTCCTGGGTCCAGAAGATCCCCTGGAGAAGGGATAGACTACCCACTCCAGTATTCCTGGGCTTTCCTGGTGGCTCAGATGGTAGAGAATCCACCTGCAATGCAGGAGACCTGGGTTCGATACCTGGGTTGGGAAGATCCGCTGGAGAAGGAAATGGCAACCCACTCCAGTGTTCTGGCCTGGAGAATTCCACGGACAGAGGAGCCTGGCGGGCTACAGTCCATGGGGTCACAAAGAGTCGGACAAGACTGAGTGACTTTCACTTTCAAGTATACTCATGACAAAAATAAGAAGACCCAATAATGCCCACAACAGAAAGTGGCATTCCCCATCTTCTCCCAGCCTTGCTATAACTAACTTTTAGAGGAAACTGTCATACTTGTTTGGACAGAGGAATGTCAAAGAACTCTAGAAGAGGACTGTGAGGGTCCCTTACCCTTCTTGAGTGTCTCTGGACATTGATATGCCCCATCTCAAATGTTTTTTCTGTAGCATATATTTTGTTTAAAAATAATAAACTTGCCTTTTGGTATTATAGAGGAACAGAATTTGACACCCTAAAATGCATCTCTTAGTCATATTAATTATTTTAAGCTGATTATTTTCTGAGAAACAGGATATAGGGGAAGGACTTGGAAAACAAAGTAGGCCCTTTTGTAACTAACATTTACCTTTGCAAGAGGAATCTCCATTTTTAAGTGTGTCTCCCTCTCTTACTCTGAAAGGTCACTTTATAAGATCACCAAAACAATAATTCAAATCCCTACTTCTTCCCAGTGGAGCCTTTTGGGAGCTTCAACCTGGATGCTCTTGCCTGCATTTACTTCCATCTGCCACCCACTGCCCCGAGTCTTGTTCCAAAATGCAATTCAGATTATGTCACCCCCTTCCTCAAAAGCTTCCCTGGCGGCTCAGACAGTAAAGAATCTGCCTGCAATGCAGGAGACCCTAGTTTGATCCCTGGGCTGGGATGATGCCATGGAGAAGAGAATGGCCACCCACTCCAGTATTCTTGCCTGGAGAATTCCACAGACAGAGGAGCCTGCTGGGTTACAGTCCATATGGTTGCAAAGGGTCAGACCTGATTGAATGACTAACTCTTTCCTCAAAAGCTGTCATTAACTTCCCATCACCTCTAGCAGAAAGTTTGAAATTGTATGTCATGCCCTTTCAGGCCCTCCACCAACTTCCCTGGCTTTCACTCTCACTGCAAGCTCACTCTCAACATGCTTCGCCCTACGTCCCAGCCGCTCCAGTATGTTCTGTCTTTCCTCTTATTTATTTATTTATTTATTGCTGCTTTTGCTGCTTATTTCACCTGGACTACCCTTTTTGCTTTTGTTTCTGCTGCTTCCTTCATCTGGACTACCCTTTCTTTCCCATTTCCCCCTCTCTAAAAGTTACTCAGGGACTTCCTTGGTGGTTCAGATGATAAAGAATCTGCCTACAATGCAGGAGACCTGGGTTTGATCCCTGAGTCAAGAAGGTTGCCTGGAGAAGGGAACACCCACTCCAGTATTCTTGCCTGGAAACTTCCATCAACAGAGGAGCCTGGCGGGCTACAGTCCATGGGATCACAAAGACTCAGACATGATTGAGCAACTAACACTGGGCTTCCCTGGTAGCGCTAGTGGTAAATAACTTGCCTGCCAATACAAGAGACATAAGAGA